CTATAAAAACTTCAAAATATTAACGTACAAAGCAATTATTTAGTAGATCAATGGGGCTTCTGATTACTTGTACATCAATGAAAGAAGCAGAACCAATTTTAGAAGCTATTTTTGTAATAGCTTTAAGTAAGTATGATGGCCCAATTACAACTAACGCAAAAGGCATTAAAACAAGATACACCATGTGCCAACAGCAAAAGGTTTCTACAATCTTTAATCAGTTGTAATGTCACCTTAGATCCATTCAGCAATGAGTTGGAAAATAACAATTTTGAACAAGATTTATTAGAGACTGATGATTTGATAAATAATTTTGATTTAATAAGTTCATTCAAAGATTGGGCATTGTCTATTTTAACCAAATGTGAGACTCAAATTATTGGTATCGAAGGAGAATTTGACAATGCACAATACATTCCAGAATTAGTACCTCGTGTGGTTAACTTTATGAAACTTTTCCCATGCTGGTCTAGTATAATGGTTGGAATATTTGGTTATGGTGAAAAAACTGCATCAAGCAGTAGAATTGAAAGTAACTTAAAAAAATAGAGTATTTAAGAATGAAATCATGCCAATTAGAGCTGATAATTTTGTTGAAAATTTGGTTAAATATTATAGGGGTGATCATCTTATTTTACAGTCAAAAAAATGTGTCTCAACGAATAAGGCACTTCAAATACAAATTATGAAATTCCACAGGATTTTGTTGGTTTAAATAGTTTACCGTGTGATAATACAATAGAGCCACTTGAAGAAGTAAATGCAATTGAAAACGGGAAAAATCAAGGATCAATATCAAAGCCTCGGTCATCAAAATCATTTTTGGTAAAGCAACAAGGATTTGAGAATATTAATTTAAATGAAAGAGGACCTATATGTGAAATAGCATTACTTAAAAATGGTTCCAGCTATAATAATAAACCTTTATTCGTACATGGTTTTGATAAAGTTTTATTAAGTAATACATGCTCTGCGGACTCATTGTTATCAATTTTAGCTGTTGCTGCTGCAGAAAGTAAACACTACCATCAATTTTTATCCAACACAAAAAATAAAACTGCTAAATTTGTTTTAAGAATGATTGGTAACCGACCTTATAAAGAGATGTACAAAAATATAGTCTATTTGCTGGCTCAACATTTTATCACTCGAACAGTTGATTGGAGATATTACTTTATTTGATATAGAAGACACAGGAGGTTCAATGTGTGAAAAATTGCTGCAAAATCTGAATTCCTTTAATCGGTTTGATCGATGTAAAAATAATTTATGTTTTGATCCGGAAAGAAAATCTAAAGGAACTACAATTCTATTTCCTGTCGTTGATGATAATATTGACTTACAACAAGAACTGGAAATATTTTTTATGCCGTTAACAAAATTATGTGTCTCTACTAATTGTAACCAAGAAAGAGAAGAAACGATAAAAGCCACTAATCATATAATTGTGGAACTCTTATCATTACCTAAAGGTAAATCATTAACTAAAAATTAAAAATATAATATATAAATTATGAATAGGTAACTACCTATATTCAATTAATGAAACTATAGTACTATTAATCTAGGTGTACTATTTAAATATTTAATAAATATAATAATATGTATGAAATGAGATTCATACCAATTTATAAACTAAATTAAACTTTTAGTTTGAATGTTTTTACATTTTTTTTTTTTAATAATATGGAAAATACCTATACCTATATATTGTTTCTAGATTTTACGGCATCAACTAGTTCTAGCAACATTAATTCAGAAGTGCAAAAAGTCAAACAGAACTATGCTGAGAAAGTTACATGGAAACTTAAAAATATACCAAAACAAATACAAATACAGAATATTCATTTTAAATAACGAGGTTATTTACGAGGTAAAATTATTTGAACCAAGTGTATTGTATTGGTTGAGAAATTATTGTTATCTTATACTGCTGAAAAAACAATTATTTCTACGCGTAATTATTTTTTTTTTCCTCAGGTTTAGATCATATATTTACTTACCATAGCTATAATTCCATTTAATAAAAAAATTTGGTTTCAAAATCTTTAAAAGTGACTCAACAAGTCAACAATCCTAAAAACCTCTAAACATTAAAAAAAAGAGTAGGTCAGCATTGCGGTGGTGGTTGTTTGTCCATCATTTCTTCGGTCCTCAGACTTGCATTCGATAAAAAAAAAAAACTATTCTGAGCGGACGAAATGAAATTTTTTAATTTTATTCGTTTCTATGGTGATAAACAAACCTTTGCATAGAGTTTATTGTATTTAATATCATGGAGTATACTTTGACTATAGACTACAATTTATTGAATATAATATTTATTATGTTACTAATCTTCATAGAAAGTTATTATAATATAAGTTTCAAATGCTCAAAAATATGATAGATATTAGAGCTCTTAGAGTTATCTATTTAGCTCTTATTCATTTAATTTTTGTATTGTGGTTTAGTATAGGAAATAGGAATGAACATACTCCACACATATAAAAGTTATATCTACTAATATTAATTAAATTTATTGATTAAAATTATACTTTGAAAACCAAAATTGTCTCCTACCATTTTAATTTATTCAGAGATTAAGTTAGAACTATCCAAGTTTATGAACAAGGGATTTTATTGTATATGTAATATGCATTTTTAAAAATAAGACAATCTCAAAGAAATTCTAAAAATATTATTGACATAATAAATTAGGCACCCGGAATTTGGATCGTGGTTTTCGGGGCATCACGTTGGTTACAATTTTTTTTTTGTGGTTACAAATTGTTACATAAAAGATTATATAATACCAATCGGTTTTCAACTCGACATTTTGACCTTGTTGTGTAACACACCTTCAAATTGTTACGAATTGGTAACTAATTTTTTGGGCGCACACTAGTTGCCTCCCGAAGTCAGAAAGGTCAATAATTTTTATACGAATTGCCTCCCGACTATATACTATTTGCCACCCGACGTACCCTAAATTTTATCGTAAACGAAAAAGGTCTAGTACTATTAACCTAATTCAAAATCGTAATTTATGACTTTTGTTATGTTTGATATTTAAGCTTACCTAAAACGAGAAATTAAGTTCATGTTTTAGATGAGATAGATATTATTTACGAAAATTAACAATATTTATTACACAATGATATAGAAAGCGGAATTGGTTTATTTTCTACAAAAACGAATTTGGAATTCCTAGTAAAAATCGATACGTTTTATATAGATGGAACATTTCAATATTGCACCAAATATTTCAGTCAATTATTTACTACTATTCATGGATTAATAAATAACTATTACATACCTCTTGCTTTTTTTTTGTTAAAAGATAGAAGTGAACAAACATATACTGGTACGTTTCATGTATTAAATACGTTGTGCTTAAAAATAGATAGTCATTTTAAGCCAAACATAATTTATATTGATTTTGATTTTGAAAAGCCATACACAATTCTATAACATGCATATGGAAAAATATTTCTATAAGAGGATGTCGATTTCATCTTGGCCAAGCTTGGTGGCGTAAAATTCAGTCACTTGGATTAGCTTTGAATTACTATAATAACGATTCGATTAGAGAATACTTAACGTGCATATTTGGCCTATCATTTTAAAACCCAGCGGAAGTCGGAGATATGTTTTCAATGGAGCTAGCAAACATACAGCCTTTAGATGATAAAATCGGACTATTTAGTAGATACATATATATCAGAGGATTCAATGTTTCCACCTCATATATGGGCAGAAAAAAGTTCAGCGCACAACCAATGCATGCGAATCTTTTCATAGCAAATTTAATAGCTATTTTGAGTCGCCGCATCCTAATATATATACATTTAACGAAGTTTTAAAACTAATTCAAACTGAGACTGTAATTTTAATACAAAGTTCTAATAAGACTAAACTACATGGTCGATTACAAATTAGAAACAAAATAATTTTCATTGATACTCAAATAAAAAGCTGAATGAAAAAAAAAAATATCAAATTTTGAGTACCTACAAATATTGGCTAAAAAATATAAGCCAAAGTAATGCCATAAATAACTTTTTGTTTTTTACCTATTATGTTTGACTTATTGACTACCTAATTGATTTATTATTTTTATAGTTGTGTAATTTGTATATAAATGTCGTATATTATACCTAATAAAACATAAAATATTTATTAATTATGTTAATTTTATAAATGCATCTATTTATCCGATTTTTTTTAGTGAAGCTTATGAACCACTACTTAATTCTTTACGGGAGGCAACTAGTGTGAAAATTCTTGGGAGGCAACTCGAATATTATTATGAACTACCTGGTCATCGGAGGCAACTAGTGTATATTAACCTTTTTATTTACGATAAGGATGGGAGGCAATTCGTATATTTTGGGAGGCAACTAGTATGCACCGAATTTTTTAGTATGGTTTGACCACAAAATATTTAATTCTTGTTGAAATTTCAAATTGTGCACCCTATATATATAAAAAAATTAATTTTGGGGTTAAGACTTTGGTTATTAATTCTAATTTTGTGGTTACAAACTGTTACGAATTGGTTACTAATTTTTTAGTTTGATTTTACCCCGACATTTTGAATTCTTGTTGAAATTTCAAATTTTGCACCCCCTAATAGAAAAAAATTAGTTTTGGGGTTAAGACTTAGGTGACAAATTTTTATTTTGTGGTTACGAATTGTTACGAATTGATTACTAACTTTTTAGTGTGGTTTGACCTCAAAATTTTGAATTCGGGGTGCCAGGCTGACGTCATCCCAGCACCCGAAAATGGAAACACAAATTTTGGGGTTAAGATTTAGGTTACAAATTTTTATTTTGTGGTTACGAATTGTTACGAATTGGTTACTAACTTTTTAGTTTGGTTTGACCTCGAAATTTTGAATTTGGGGTGCCAGGCTGACGTCAGCCCAGCACCCGAAAATGGAAACACAAATTTTGGGGTTAAGACTTAGGTTACAAATTCTGATCTTGTGGTTACAAATTGTTACGAATTGGTTACTAATTTTTTAGTTTGATTTGACCCCGACATTTTGACTTTGGGGTGCCAGGCTGACGGACCTTCACTGAGCTCTCATTTTCATATAAAAATTTATTCAAGTTTGAGAAACATGTAAAATCAATTTCTTGTACACAGTCAACCCAAAAATCCAACTTGCCAATGAGAGCTTTAATCTTGTCATTGGCTTGAAAGATCGAAGTTTCTTTTCCTTGTAAACCCAAGTTTGTTTCCTTTAACTTATTGAAAATATCAGAGAGGTAAGCTAACTTTATGAGCCAATTCTCATCATGAAACCACTCAAAAAGATTTGTTTTCTTATGCTCCTTCAGAAAATTTTTTACTTCATTTCGCAATTCAAAAAGTCTTGTTACAACTTTGCCTCTGGACAACCACTTGATTTCTATAAGTAAAAAAAGATTCTGATACCAACTCCCCATTTCCTCACAGAGCTTCTTGAACAGCCTTGTTTTTAAGGGGCGAGATTTTATAAAGTTCACACACTCAACAGCTATGTCTAGTGCTGATTTAAGATCTGGCGAAAGTTTCTTGGTTGCTAACGCATGACGATGTAAAACACAGTGGCTGTTACTACATTTTGGAGCTACCTCTTTAATTCTGGTTATTAAACCTTTTTTATCTTCCCAACCATTGTAGCAGCACCATCCGTGCATACGTCCACACATTTTTGCCATGATATATTTTTTTTCACTAAGTACTTATTTAAAACTTCAAAAATTTCCTCTCCTGTGGTATGCGTTTTCAAACTTTCACAAATAAGCAACAATTCTTGAATGGTTTTCTCATGAGTATATCTGGCAAAAACAAGTAGTATGGACAACCCAGAAACATCGGTGCTTTCGTCCATTTGTAAAGAAAATTGGTTACAGTTAATTAATCTGAAGACAAATTCATCTTCAATGTGGTCAGAAATTTTATGAATTCGATCAGAAATCGTATTGTTTGAGCACTGCACTGCTGCAACTTTTTTTCCCGCATCTTCTCCGAGAATACAAGAGACAACTTCTATCATAATAGGTTTAATCAAACTTTCGGCAATGGTGTGTGGTTTTCCGGCACGTGCAATATCATAACCCAATAAAATTGAAGCCTCTGTGTTTTTCTCATTTTCGTCTTTTACATACTTAGTGAGAGAACTCGCACTTTCAATTGAAATGTCTTTCTTCATTCTAAAAAAATTCCAGATCTTTCCCTTTCAGATTTGGATGATTAGATTCCAAATGTCGCTTAAGCTTCGCAGGAGCCAAAGAACTGTTACTGAGAACTTTTTCACAAACTACGCACCTCACATCGGGAAACGTGTCTACTCCAATGGGAATAAATCCAAACGATAAATATTCTTCATCATATCGTCTATTTTTACCTTTTGAACAATTAATTTGAGTGTATTCCTTACTTGGAGATGCTTCATTTTCGACAGTTAGTTTTTGGGGAGGAGCTGCTTCACAGTTTTCCGATGGAACAGACGAAGTACTGCTTTTACTTGTAGATGTTAGACCGGTATTCAGATAATACAGATATTACAGATAATAATCGCCCCGTTTTGAGCCATTTGTCAATTTCAGTAAAAATTATGAAGGAACAGGTACCACTACTGAAAAGATTTCCGAAAAGAAATACTACATTTTAAATCACATAGTCTAAAAATATTATGTAATAATGTCGACGCCTGCCTCATAAAACTGTTACGATTTGTTGACGACGCGTCGGCGTCAGCACTCAGTGTTAATTTAAATAACTTATCCCAGGCAACATTTTTTTTAAAAATATTATTATAACATTATAATCACGAATAATATTATTAATACAAAATGCTGCCTAAACTAATTATTTTAGCTTATTTAATTTAAAAGTACAACTTACCTAACCAGAAAATTAAAGAGTTATTCGTAATAGTAATAATTTAACACTAAAATTCACTGTTAGAAAAAAAAACGGTTTCTCACTTCGTCAAAGCAGAATGAAGACTGACAACTACAAATAAATATTTTGTAGTGGCGAGACCCATATACCGACTATTCGCTAATGACCACAGATAAGATAAATGAATACATATAGTAGGTCCTATTTAAACGCAACGATAAATCGAAACAATTGGATCGTTACGATAAATTGATAGCATTTATTGTTGCGTGTAAAACCGGCTTTATAAGCTTATAACATATATTATATAAGACATTTTATCATAGGAAAAGGAAACTAAAAATAATTTTTATATTTTCCCAAATTTCTCACGAAACCCTTGGCGCCGGCTCACGGAACCTTTAGGTTCCACGGAGCACCAGTTTTGAAATGCTGGTTTAGTATATATATTAAGATTTTATTTTTTAATTAATTTAAATTAATGTCCCTAGATAAAAATAATAATAAATGTATTTATTTTCATTAATATTAGTTTATTTCACTATCAATTAAATTAAATTACATAATATATTATATACTAAATGTTATACATTATAACCATTAGGTATCTTAATAATATTCAATTTTAATAATACATAACTACATAAGTATTATATAGCCAAATGTAATAATTAAAACTACCTATAGTTATTTGTGATTCTTAAATATAAACAATGAATGTAGTATTAAATTTATCATTGTACATTATAATATAGTACTTATATATTATTATCTAAGCTGGTATAGAATTTTTAGTGGAATGTAACAATGGAAGTAAAATTTGTTCATTATTATGAGGTATAAGTAACATTTTTTTTTATATCATTAATATGATACCAAATAAGATTATTGGATAAGTTAATAACAGCATAAATATCTATATCTATCAAACTTAAATTGTTAAGAAATAGTGGATAGCTATTTTGAAAGTATTTACATATTATAATTCGATCATTTTTTCTTTCATTAGAAATTATATTAACAGCTTTAATTAATCTTTTGTCTTTAGTAATTAAGTAAGAATCAGCATCCACATTGGTTTTTATTGTCATATTTTCTAATTTTAGAGAAGACAATTGTAATCCTTTCATACTATTTTATATAATAGGTCCACGTATATGAATACCAGTGAAATTAAGTACAATATGTATATTTGTAATTAGTATTGGACATCAGCAAATATTTTTCTTTGTATCTTTTAATGATTTGTTGTAGAGGCTTGTCAGGTATTTTTAACATTTTCTTCAAGGATCCCATATAATTCTCAAAAGGAAATGCTGAAACATTGTCTAATAGACCAAACAGAGTGTAATCATCACATAAATGCATTAAAAAAAGAATATTATGGGAAATCATCAACATTTTTAACAAAGTTGTCTAATAATAATCGTGCATGATTTATACATTGTCAGTAATCAGGACTAATCAATATCATCATTGCCAAGTTTAAGCTAAAAAAGGTGTTCTGCTGTACAGTATTCTACATGTGGGTCACTGTATAATGGATGGCATTAAATTTGAATTCAATGATATAATATCATTGTATAAGAAAAACGATTCTGAGCGGAGACGGTATGTCCCTCTAGGTGTAAGACATATTATATACTTATCTATGGTATTAAAAAAATTGACCTATAGTAGGTACCTATAATAAATTCTAAATTAATCATATCACAATATCCATTAGGTACTTATAACGCGTTATACATCAACAACAAACCCTGATTCTATCATAGTCCATACTCCATAGATATATAATAGTGAGGTACATTTCCCCAGCCCCCTCAATTTCAAATTTTCATTTTTTTTTTTTACCATAGTAGGATGAAAAAGACAGTTCAGAAGGCTCATCCACTCATCCTCCACCGCCACCGCCACCGCCCGATCGCGCACGTACGCGACGTACATTTTACCCCTCCCCCACCCACCGCTTACGTTCGTGACGTATATTTTACCCCACCCCACCTCACCACCCAAACCCGCCGCCCGATCGCGCACGTTCGTGACGTATATTTTACCCCACCCCACCCCACCACCCAAACCCGCCGCCTGATCGTGCACGTTCGTGACGTATATTTTACCCCACCCCACCTCACCACCCAAACCCGCCGCCCGATCGCGCACGTGCGCGACGTATATTTTACCCCGCCCCGTCCTTGCTCCCCTACCCCTTTGTATATTTTAAGCCTTGACCACCTGCACCTGTTACGGCAGATGTTGAGAAATTTACCCCTACCTAATAATGTTTCCCCCACCTAATAATGTTTCCCCCACCGAATAATGACTCAAATCATCAGACGCTCGACCCTGTAAGAGCGGACATTTATTCAGTGTGTTCAGAGTCTTATGCTATACTACACGTACATTTTTATTTCTTGTGAGTGTTTTTATTTTTTCAAGTCTTAATAAATTTTCAGTGTTTATTTTTTCAAGTCTTAATAAATTTTCAGTGTTTATTTTTATAAGTTCTAAAAATCATTAATATCATGGCTGGTTCAATCACTGAGATATACAAAAAGAAGCCGTTTACGTACGTTCCTCCAGCACCTCCGGCTGAGCTAATAGATTCTACATCCTACACATTAGACTTCACCACTCGCAAATTTGTACCTGTGGGAATCGATCCGACTGATGATTTCCAAACAGTTATCCATATATTGACTTCTTCACGTCACGTGAAAATTAGTATAGATTTTCTAAGACGGATATTCTCGCTTATGGGTAACGTACTATCTTTTATATTAGACACGCCGCAAAACTACAAGCGAACCATATTTCTCGAAACTGATTCTTATAAAATATCGAGTATGGTGTATAGCGGTTCAAACGTTCTAGTGATTGAATCTAAGACTGAAGACGGATGTAGAGTTTTATTAAATCGTATAGATTTAATAAAACTCCAAGAATTAGAATGGTGTATTACTGCTAGTATTAAAGAAAAAGAAGAAAAAATAAAACCCGAAATTATTAAGCAAATTAGTGATTATTGCGAGTATTTGAGGGAAAAATGCTTGCAATCGGATTCACCACCCAACAATTTGAGGGAAATGGAAATTTTCATTCGGAACGTTGAAGTCAGGCAGAGTAAAAAGACACCTAACCTCGGTCAAATTAAAATGTTTGCGACTACACAATTGGCCGAACTTTGTATGGCTCATCGGAAAGTACAAGACTCAAAAGTGGTAATTTAAAAATATAATATTATTACGTATATAAAATATTAAATTACATTTATTTTTATTTTAGGCATATGATAAGAATTTCAAAACGCTGTCATATTTCTCACCTAACTATTCGATTGTAGAGGAAGGAATATCTAAATCGTATCAAGAAATCGATGCATGTGATGAAATTAATCCGTTGGAGAATGATTTAGTTGAGGTAATTCATAAATATAATATTATGTACAAACATATATTTAAACAAGTTTTTTTTATTTTACTTGCAGGACGGGTATTCACCAATATCACCCAGCTGCCCACCAAAATTCATCATCTCCAGCTTACAGGACGATTCCTGTACAATACGTGACGCATTTGATAAGCCGGAGGATCAAATTCTAGCTAAGGTAATAAATAAAAAAAATTTCAACTAAAAAACAATATTTTTTATATTTAATTAATTTTCCAGCCGCTAGATCATATTGACGGTCCACAATCACCCTCAAGTTCACGGTTGTTCAACATAGGAGACGGGTTCGATTTCTTCAATCGATTTAATTCACCACCCTCAACTTACGTCAATCACCCTACTGCAGCACCATTACGTAGAGTGAAGCGTCGACTACCACAATCACCCACAAGTTCACAGCCGTTCGATGAAGATGATGGGTCTGATTTTTTCAATTCAAACCATTCACTGTCTCAATTTACTACCCACGAACCATCTGATCGAGCAACTTATGCTGTTCACCCCACGCCGCTACGTAATGTAAAACGTAGACTATTCTAATAATTGATGTAAAATAATTAATTTATGTAAAAATAAAAAAAAAGACGTGATATATAAAAAAAAGTTTTTTCATTTATTAATATTAAGGTTTACAATAAAATATTAAGGTTTACAATAAATATTTACAAGGTTCTTACTTCTCCGTTAAATGGATTATAAGTAATAATTTGATCATGTAATATTAAACTATATGCGGAAGTGGAAGCTGGAAACGCCTCATCAGCTTCTAATTCAATTCTGAGGTCCACTGTCGACATTTTCACATTGTCGTTCTGTCGACTCATGTCAACAACTATGATTGGAGAGTGATTTTTGAATTCTGATCGGTTCAATAGAGGTGTTACATCGTCGTGACCGTAGTAAGATTTTTGGAACTCTGCATACGCGCGGTATAATGTCGCCATCTTATTCTTATTAAAGTCACTTTGAAAATCTTCATATGGAAATACTTCGGAGTTTAAATAGACTTTCAAGTTTTTAATTTTACAATGATCGAAATATGACATTGCTTTACTTGTGCTATTTTTCCTATCAGTTTGAAATCCGATTATAACATATCGAGGTTTTTCTAACTTGTTGGATGTCTTTACTTTCCACGAATGTGAAGTGTTTTGAGGTAAAAATGGGTATTCACACAGTTCCCACGATCTGAACGTACATGCCAGGGGTTTTTGACTGTTGACTACTTTCAACAGTCGAATTTTTTCTCTATCGCTAACTCTCACTATAGGCATCCGCCACAATATTTTTGTTATGTTTATTTTAACGTCTTTTAGTTTAGGAGCGTCTACGACAGTTTCATTATTTTTATACTGTTTGATGGCATTCATATCAATCGAAGCTCTATTTTATATGAGTTGCTGGTTACAGTTTATTAAAATGCGTTTATAATCTTCGCAAAAACCAAACAAATGTTTAAGATTAATACATCCGTTAAAATTACCGCTATCAATAAAATCTTTATTAACATTTTTAAAATCACTATCCCAGGCAGCGTTTTGGTGTGAGGAAATATTTGTTTTATTGTACGAACAATATCCTTTTAATGTGGTCGATATACCCGGATTGATGAGTTTCTGAATTTGATTTCCGTTTATTTCATATTTCATTTCAGAGAAAAGAAATGCCAGTCCGTTGTTTATAAATCTAATCTCGTCAGTTATTTCTGTAGGTTTGGTTATTGTTCCCTCGATGTAAATATAACTCTCGCACGGTAAAGTATAAGACTCTGTGTTATGTAAAGCAATACGCACCTCATCATTATTAGAAAGAGCTGATGTTAAATACTGTAAAAAAGAATGATAATCAATTTGTGTTATTTTACAATCATCGATGTATCCAGCCGTGACGTCTAAATATGTGTCGTCCATATTAAATGACGTTAATCGAGCGTAGAAAAGCCAAATTATCAGGTGTTAGACTATGTTTAGTCTGTTTTCGTCTCGAATATTTTTTCTTTTTCAGAGTTGTTACCTTGTTAGTGTTTTTAACACGACTAACGTGTTTTTCATATACAACCCTATTTATATTGTAAAATTGAAGCCCCATCACGAGTCTTGAATTAATAATCGTATTGATACCGGTTCGCCTCGTAGATCGATCAACTCGCCGTCCTGATTTTTTAAAATTATACTTGCATGTGTTATAGATGTAGAATTAATGGAGTAAAAAACCAAATGTGTTGGTACCTCTATTATTTTATAGCCTGGAGGAACATTCGGATAGAACTCGTGGATTGTATGGCACTGCTTACCGTTGACGAATGAACCCATAACTAGATTTGAATCGATATATATACAGTTTGTTTTGGTAATATTGACCAACGTATCTGATTCGTGTTTGACATTAGCAGCATATACACGATTTTTGAATCCCAACAACTGTCCTATACTATTAGTTATACTAAAATCTACAGTTTCACTACAAAACATTGTAAATTTTAGTGTATTATTATCTGCTGTCAACTCGAATAAAATATCAGTATTATGCAATACACGTTTTATAGCTGTGTCAATTTCATTCAACTCATAAGAGCCGGTAGGTATTACATAGCTATCGCTATTCATATTGTTATCATTACTGTATGTGAAGCATATTTTATTACACTTTTCGTTTATGTTAGGAATAGAATTATTCGTTTGAAAACCTAACAGACAGATTTTTACATTTTTACTGACTTCTGTCGGTGGAAAAAATTCACATGACAATTCGCTCGAGTTACCGGTTAATGTTATAGTGTACATGATAAAAATTTTAAGCACAGATGACCACAGTTTGTTGTGTTATATTTCTGATGTCTTTCGTAGTTATATTCGATATTACAACCGTTGAAATATTTCTGTAATTCTAGCGGTGGCGTTAAATTTCCATAACTATCATAATATTTAACTTTTTTTTCCGATTTTCTTATACGCTACCCAATGAGTACCTGTTCCGTTTTCGATGTCTAAATTAACTACAGCTGACTCTTGATGTTTTGCTAGTCGAGGCAACTTGTCTCTAGCAAATACACCGATAAAATGAGGAATTTTCAACATATCAGCGTATTTTATAATCTCATAATCGTACAACGCTCTACCGGGTAACGTAGAAATTAGTTTTTTGACCTGGATTTCTTAACTGACCCGCCCTTGTGTGGTGCTAGGTATAAACCTTTACCTTTTACGATTTTATAAGAACTACCCTTGTGAGGAGTAAGATATAATCCTTTGCCTAAATGAATAGGAGAGTTATTTCCAGAATTTAATTCTTTCACGACTTTTACTATATTACCTACTCCACCGGTAAGCGCGCCTAATGCTGATAAACCAGCAAAAATAGGAATTAAAGGTAGAATACCGCCCTTTTTCGGTATTGGTATAATTCTTGGTGTTTTAGTTTTTTTGTTTTTATTTTTATTTTTTTTAGTTTTTTTCGCAGCTGACAGACACGTTCTTACTAATTTTGTAATTTTGTTCATTTTATTTTTGATGGAATTTTTAGCAGCCAAAACCATTTGTTTAAATCCGCAACCAGCTCCAATCTTACGTTTGGCCTTCATAGCTGTAGTAACTAGCCAAGACGCCGCTTTTTCCTTGATACCTGTGTTTTTAGATTTAAACACTTCCCAAGCCTGATTTTCTAATACTTCGTCTGCTCTATGCCGATCAGTTAGCGAATTACTTTCTTCGTATGCGATATCATGCGCTCTGGCCAACTCGTCAAGTCTGTTTATACCACGTTCTCCTCGTGCTAATCTTTGTTTCAATTTGGTTCCGGGACCGGCAAATCTATAAACAATTATTCATAAAATTTAAAACGGATTTATTAGTCATAATATATTGTAGCGACTTACCTATAACCAGGTAAATGTAATTCCATGGGTAAATGATTTATAACAGAGTTAATAAGACCGGAGCCTTTATTGTTGTTTCGCTTACGAACGTGAGACATCGTGTGACGCTATCGCTAACATAGCACCTATATTTATAGTGAAAAATTTTAAAAAAATGCGCTTTATCGAACAAGAGAAAAAACTACGAATTTATAATATTGATTCTCCCGAGACAATTCAACAGAGACATGGAGAGCTTTTCCCAAATACGATAAGGTCGTTGGTACTTGGCAGCTCGGGGTGTGGTAAGACCAATCTGATATATTTTCTACTAGTCGATGAAAATGGGTTACGATTTGAAAACGTTTACATATACTCCAAGACGCTGGAAAAACCTAAATATAAAATATTAAAACGTATTATTGATGGAATAGACGGTATGAACATTTTTACCTTTTTCGAGAATGATAAAGTAATTCCGCCAGAGAAAGTTTTACCAAATTCAATTTTTATCTTGGACGATGTTATTGGTGAACACCAAAACGTAATAAGAGATTATTTTTCTCGAAGTCGCCACAATAAAATAGATATTTTTTATCTGGCCCAGAGTTATTCAAAAGTACCAAAACAGTTGATACGTGACAATGCGAATTTAATAGTATTGTTCAAACAAGATGAGACCAATTTAAGGCATGTATACTGTAATGGGATTACGTAATATCATGTATTTGCTCATAAAAACAACCAGGAATGCGACCACACCCAAAAGTGTTTTCGACTAAGAATACCACTTTCATAGTCGTGAGGTCCATATCAAGGACGACTGTACACGCGCCGCTCACTTCAAAGGACGCCGCCACCATATATATAGGGGACAGCGAGACAGTCTGAGTTAGATGTACCAGGGCCGCCAAGACCGAGCGTGCCGCTTAGCCACCAGCCATTACACACAACTTACACGGAGATTATCGACTACTACAACGAGTCAACTCACGACGCTGCAATTCACCACGACTATATTAATTATTATTGGTTTTAATAAATTACAATTGATTTATATTTAAATTGACTACATTTTATTGTAAAAGTGCAACAAGCTTTTGGATCCCTGAAGGGCCGCATGTAACAATACAATGAACACTGTTCGGGTGATATGTCATATATACAATTTAAACATTTTTGTGTAACATGTTGGAACCGTGAGAGGTTTACATTTGTTGTTATTTGTAAAGATAGTGAGCGTGATAACGGACGTTATCGTTTTGGGTTTGATACTTTTGTAGTTATATAAGATGAAACAACTAATAAATATTATCATTTAAAACGTAGTCATGACGGAAGCAACTACTGTGTTAGATGAGCTAGTTAAAGCTAAGGAAAGTATTAAACGTAAATATATCGCCTTAAAAACCGGTTCTGATAATGTTCAACAATAAATGACACAGACATTAAAACCAATTATCGATCCTTTAACTAAAATATCGAATAAACCTCGATTGAACAAAGAAAATATTGACAATAAATCAAAAAACTCAATTTTGGACTACAATCAACAAGAAATTGAAAATTGGTTTCAGTCTACAGACTTGGATAAAATCTATGGACCGAAAAAACCTTCAAACCGACATATTATTTTGGGTAAAAAAGAAGTAAAATTTATAGAAAACAATATACTTATTGACGGTAC